ACCAAAATATGAAGCAAGAAGAAATTGCCCTTTGAGTAGGTGACCAGAGACGACCTGCGAAAATGGAATATTACCCTATTAGAAAAGTTGGCCAAGTCAAAAGTAGAGGACGCATTGATGCCATATCTTGATATGGTTCATATTTCTTCTTTCTTGTACCCAATTCAACACCAAGCCTAAAGTTAGTAGTTATCACTGTTGAGAATGTAATGTGTTTGACGGAAAATCATACAATCAATGCCACATCTTGATACGGTTCATATTTGTTCTTTCTGAGCAACAGAGCCTAGAGTTAGTAGCTGACACTGTTCAGATGTCTTGGCAAAAAATCATACAATCAGATTCTTTTATTTAGCATGCTCTGATGAACAAATTGTCATTGGTGAAAAAAAAGTTTGTCCGCAACGCCCGAATTTTAGTTGTTAAAGGCTCCAAAACCCCCTATGTCGTCGAATGGCAAAATCCACCCAAAACGAGCCATTTGAACAAGGTCTTTTTCCTTTCCCAATTGATTATTCTGGAAGATATCATGTTCTCAACTTTTATCTCTCATCAAAGATAATATATAGTTTAAACTTTTAAATATTTTAACAATGTTTAATCTAAGAGTCAATATATAACACTTTTTTCATCATCATCATCATCATCTAATGCTGAATTTCACTTATCAACATGATACCTAAAAGGCACTATAGAATATCTCCTGATTATATGTCGAGGAGGAAAGTTAAAAATAAATAATCGACTTGGGGATGAAGTGAAATAATCCCACACGGGCACTGAGGGAGTAGGGGTGCGGTGAACTTAGCCGTTTTGAGGAGCTCATTGTCACATCGATGCATTACATAATTGACTTTAACGTGGGTGTTACATATGGTCTCCAATTCTTGTCATATATGCCAGAAAAATCATAGAGCTTCACAAAATGGATGTGTTTTTTTTGTTTTCTTTTCGTTGGTTGGTCTCCTAATTAACCTTCAGGCTGAAGGCTTTCTTTTTCTTGGTTCTTTTCTTCCTTTTTCATTGCCTCGATTGCTGGAATCTTTTAAGATGACTATCGATCCCATATGATTTGTAAAATGGGACATACATGGTAAGGAATTAATTACATTATTTAGCAACTTAAATGGTAAATTATATCCTATCTAATCATCCACTAGAAGAAACATTAGTTTAGTGTGTATCAAATATATATCTAGCTAGACCTTTTTTATTAATTAATTTATTTAAAAGTGGCCTCAATATCTCAGTTAGACATAACGTGATACATAAGATAATTGAATACCCAATAATCAACACGTCTTTCAAATACTTTCTAATATTATTATACACTTTTTCCCCTTGAATTAATGGGCATTATGCCTCTCTAACGACGTACTGTTGTTGAAGACTAATTTTAATTTTGAAGTCAACTGATGATGCTAATTCCTAATGCTCATTTTTGTACGAGTCCTTTCGAGCAACTTAATCCTACCTTCATAAAGGCACGGGGCCTTGGTCGGCAAGCCAAAGAGTTCAAAGTCAAGTTCTGTTGTGGTAGTACTCCAGTTTTTCTCCCTTTGCGATTTCTCTCTACATTTTAGATGAAATACAAGATACTAGCTCCTTGTAAGGTTTTTATTATCTTATTATTTATATATATATTTTTTTTCTAATTCAAAGGGAGGCTCGGAAGTCGGAACTGCTCGCGAACGGCTCGAGTCGTTTGCAACTCTACTCGGAACCTTAATTATAAAAAGAAAGGGGGGAAGAAGAAGATTTAAGACTTAATTAATTAAAGAGCTTGAAGTGATCCTGGCTAATGTCCCCATTAATTATATACTATATTGGTTCTTGATGACTATATAACATCCATAATGATTCTGAAACTGTTCTTACCGTTTCCAGACTGCTATAAATTTTGACAAACGTAGTCAAGTTAGCTGTCAAGACATGTACATGCATTAACTATTTAACAACCAATCAAGACTTGTAGCATTAATGTTTATCACTTGACGAGAGAGAAACAGGATTACGAGAGCATCTTTGAACGACTATGCTAATAAAGTCGCTCGCTTTTCTTCATGGACCTATACGCTTGAAATATATCTATCAAATTGACCGAGTTAATATATAGTCCATGACGATTTCCATCTCCAGGCAGTTTTAACTTTTATCATCTTGTTGTAAGTTGTTTACATGAGCAAATCTTTTACCAGTCTTTTTTGTTTTTCGAAGCTCATCAACACTGCTACCATTTTCCGTGCAATATCTACTACTAAAACTTTCGATGACTACCACTACTTTTAAACAGATACATATGTCATTCATGCTCACACCCTGCGTGGACCTCATCAAAAGTTAAAAGTAGTACGTACTTGGATTGGTATCCGAGATTTTTTCTTGTCTTTAAAAAAAAAAAAAAGATTAATAGAACTTGATTAGCAAGTTTTACCCTTATTATGCACTAAATCGTGTACTTGCAGATGCGTACAAGATATTGGGTCAATTTGACTGAAGAGAAATCATACATTGAAGGTTCTAGTACAAATTACTGGATCTGAGAGTCTAAGTTTGTTCCAAAACTGTCAAGATTTCTGTTATGGTTATTAATAGCAGTCACATTCTTACCAGCTGTAGTGATCATGTATGTGGGAGGAGTAGTGCAATCAATCAGCCAATTTTTGAGCTTATCAAAGAATGCCACGATGCTGTGGATGCATCTTGTGAGCAGATCATACATCACCAGTTTCTCAGCCATTTTTCTAATGGTTGGTGTAAGTTCGGTCGATTGGGACTATTAGCAGTGACAATTTTCTGATTGATGGATTATGATGGAGACGGTTGCTAATTGAGTATTTGATCCCTGTTTTCTTTCTTTTTCAATGATAAAAAAGATAAGCTAATGCTGCAAATATCACGCATTTTCTTCCTTTACATCGTCATTAATCACTCTCCTTGTGCTGGGAGACGATGTAATTAGACTCCAAAACTAAACATGCACGTCGAGTTTTCTGCTGCACTTTTTTCTACACGTAAATTTCCTTCTTTCTCCAAAATTATTTCCAGTGGCTTTCGTAACTTGGTGTTCATCATGATGATGTCAAGAAAATATTATTCTCTTACACCAAATTTGGATCCGCCTAAAATATAAAAGGAAAAACAAGAAGTTACGCACTCTCGAGAGTTTGAAAGTTACAATTGTTTTTTGAGTTAATCTTATACGCACTGACTCAGAGTCTATACATTATTACGATTAGATTCTTGACCCAAATGCAAAATTTAAATTTCAAATTCAAATTCAGATTATGTATCATGCATTCAACGGTAAAAGTGTAAACACTGTCGCTGTATAGAAAAATTAATCCTTGCTCTTAACCACTAATTCTCTCAAGGTTAGGCTAATTCTCTCAAGGTTAGTGTTTTGTGGAGGATGATTTTGGTGCATGATTTTTTTACTGCACCTTTATAAGTAACAATTCTTAACTTTTGTGGATGATGATTTTCATTATCTTTTGAGGTGGATGGGGTGTCGGCCAATTTTTGGTTTTAGTCTATTGGAAAAACTTTGGGCTCCAGCCTGGTGAAATAGTTTTCACAAACTATCATGGGCTGATTTTTAACAGCTGCACCAATAAATTTTGGCGCGTCGAATCTTAAGTCTCCAACTTCCATCTGGATTCAAATTCAATCAAAAAAGATTATTATTGAGAACGCCGGATCCAATTTTTGTAGGGATGACCAATTTTCTGTGGACCATTCACGTAATATTCCTGAGTCCATGGGCTAAAAGCTTGAAGTATAGCTAGAGTACGGGTGTAAACAGAACACAGGCCAGATCTTCAGGGTCTCAATATGTGGTTACAGGTCAGGGCCCGTCTAGATCCAAATCCAGGTCAAGAATATATGGATTTTGAAATTAATTTAATAGAATTATTTTCCAATAGTTTTAAAATTTTAATTGAACATAAAATGTATCAATACAATATTACCATTTTTATAGAAGATCTTTTCTAGTAGAAGATAAGTGGGTTTGCAATAAATTTTAATGAATATATAATTTTTTATGAAAAAATTTATATTAATTAGATTCGAGTCCAAAATGGGTCGAAACATGTAAATCCATGTCCGATCCATTTATAGTGTAGATAAAAAATGGATATGGATTAAGTCTAAGTAAATGAACCTATTACCTATTCCGAATACAAAATAAAAAAATAAATAGGGTCTACATCCAATCCAAATCTAAACCTAATCCGTTGACAGTCCTATGCTAGACGTTTATCCTTTGGGCATGGAGTGCTGATTAATATTTTGTAGCAATTTATTTAAAACTTTTCTTTTTTAGATTTTCAAAAAAAAAAAAATACTCCAAGGGGAAGAAATGGGAGCAAAAAGGGAGATTGGTGACGCATTTTCTCCGGGATCCACCAGATTTCTTGTGTAGCTCAGCTTAAAATTGTTGCTGTGAGATGTGACATTTGGCCTCAAATCAACCTAAAAAGAAAAGGGAATGGTGAATTGAATAAAATGATCATTGGACAATTATTCTAGAGTACTACTAGTAAACAAAGATGGTTGAATATTGGGCTACATCTAATTTTCCTACAGATTTGGAGCAAATTAACCAATTCATTTTTTGGTAAGATGGCCAGCGAAAAGGGTTTTAAATCCCTTTCTGGGCTTTCTGCTTGGATTAGGAAAGAAGTTTAACAGGGCAGTCTTATCCTTTTAGCCACTTGAATAACTCAGTTGGAGTCCACAAGAGTTTTCCATGATTACAGCTCAAAGCTGCAGAGTTACTAGAGACTGTTCAAGAATGAAACAGACATTTTTACAAACTAAATAAAGACTAATATCTTCTGATTCGATGATTTACAGCAGAATATGTCAATAAAGCAACCAGAGTTGACCATATCTTTTAATCAATTTCGACAACCCAGCCCCTATTATCCTCGACAGCACCACTTTGAATTCCTACGAGCCTCGAGTAAAGTTTCTTGCAGACAAGATCAGGGCTGATCTCGTATTCAGTCCTGCATAAACGGAAGAAACCAATTACTGATGACTCTCTATACCTTATTCATCCAAACAAAGTTGTGAACCTTGAGAAAGCAAATTAAAGTTCAGAAAATGTTCCTATAGCTCTTGAGTAACTTCATCTTCATGGGGGGGTTAGTCCTGCTTAATCTTCTGCACAGCACGACCTTTTCACAAGATCATACGCTGGGATGAAACAGTGTTGGGATAACACTAGAATAAGCATGCATGCTACTTATTACCTTTTACCATTGTATGTGATGCTTCCCACAGCGGCAACACCAACCGCAGTTCCTGTGCAGAATACTTCATCAGCATCGATTAGGTCGTCCGCCGGAATGGTACGTTCTTCAACCTGGCAACATCATAGAAAAGGCTCAGATAGCCCATACACTGCTTCAGTCACATTAGAGTAGCAATAGAACACTTCCAAACCTTAGCATGATGGCAATTATGTGAGCCAATACCACGAATTCTCTTATCATTTTTTCAACTGCCTGCTTAATTAGCAGTTAATACAAGTTTTTTGTTTACCTGGTATCCAAGATCCTTTGCAATTTCCATGATGCTTTTTCGTGTTACACCTTCAAGGATGGTGCCATTAGTTGCTGGAGTTGAAAGAATATTTCCCTGGATATATGCATTGGAGTAGTAATAAGTTTAATGGTCCAGACCCTTCAAAATCTAGCTGCAGATTGCGCAGGCTGCACTAAGAACATTATAGAGCCCTATATCTATAGTTTCTACTTACACTCTCACATGAACAAGATTTTTCTTTTTGTTAAAGCTTTTGACCTTACGTCCATATTGTAACCCAATATGTCCGGGTTGTATAGAGTTGTTATTTGTATTAACATATCAGCTACTGAAATAGTTTGATGAGGTAATGGAGTAGAATACCTTGACAATGAAAATGTTACAAGAAGAGACCTCCTCAATGTTTTTCTTGTTCAGTGAATCTAGGTACAAGACATCAGAGAATCCTCTATCCTTTGCTCTATGTATTGCTTTTAAGACCTACGCAACACAAAGTAAATGTGAATCTGAAAGGAAACAACAAGAAGGTAAGCAAAAAACAGAGCATTTCTGGTTGGAGGAAATGCATAGAAAGATTAACTGGCTAACAAGTTCCAAATTTTTAGGCAACATAATCAATTTACGAGTTTATTCAACAAACAGTAGCTTTATGATATCAAAGGTTAATAAGAAAATTTAGAAAATAAAATATGTAAACAAAAGCCTTTAATTGGTCTTCTTTGACTTCCTTTGCCATCAAATGCAAGTTTAGATAGGGCCAATATTGCGGTTTATTCCATTTCTTTTCATTTTCTGGGGTTTGGAGATTGGGCTGAATAGTAACATGAAGGATCATTTAGCTTACTGGAGCATAATTTGTTATGCTTTTGACTCCTCCGGCTCCTCCACGTGAAGCGCGATGAAACTCACCCTCCACATATAAGTTTATCGGTGCAGTTCCTTCCTGTATAACCACAACTCAAAATAAACACATTCTTCTTTAATGACAGAGAAATGGACAACTTAGGAATAAGAAAGAAGAACATGAAGTGTTTATAATGACAGGAAAGAAGCATATAAAGAAAAAGATCTGAACCTTGAAGTAGTTTCCAACAGGCGAAGCATAGACAAGAAATGTATATTCAGGTGATGGAGCCAAACCAAGTACAGGTCCTGTTCCTATGAGCAGAGGCCTAACATAAAGTGATCCTTTTCCTGGAGGTGGGATCTGCGCAAACTCAAAAGCAAAATAGGTTACACGAAAGAAAGAAAACACACAAAACAAAAATTTTGTTACTGACTGACAACACAATTGTACTGCAAGAATTTGGGGACTAAAAATAATTACCCAACGCCTGTTAGCCAAGGCAGTTTGCTTCACTGCATTGATGAAGTGCTCAATGGATGGAGAGGGCATGCACATTCTTTCAGCACCAATTTGCATTCGGGTGGCGTTCTGATCTGGGCGGAATAGATAGAGGCCTCCATCTTTTTTCCTGTAGACTTTCGTACCCTCAAACAATCCCTGTTTCAATTTTCACAGACAGAAAGAATTAACTTACAGTTTGTGTGAGACGACCTGTAGTCCAGATGTGATGAGGAACGGAACGTACCTGTCCATAATTTAATACCCCTGCTGAAGGGCTTAACTCAATGTTCCCATATCGGCAAAGTTGGCCTTGCTGGAAATATCCATCACTGGGACACTTCATGATGTACATATAGTCAGTTGGTATAACACCGAATCCGAGACCATTCCAATCAATATCAGCATACTCGTCATTGCTGTCAATTATCAACATGGACAAAGAAGTGTGGAAGAACAAATTAGAGTTGGGCATGATAATTTGTCCCCATTGCTCTTATTACCATTGCAACGAAGAAATAGTAAATGCTTATGATTGCCATATAAAACATATTCAACTGTCCTCATATTCCAAAAGGACATGTTTAGCAATGAGTTTTCGATACAGGCAGCTCCTTATACTTCATGGCTTCCACTAAGACAGCTACATAGGTTTAGCAGTGAGCTTGCTACATAAAAGTGTGGGATTGTCCAGGGATGGCTGCTCTGGTTGGGCAGGTGGCTTGTTTCCACAATACTTCCATGCCTTTGATGATGCCGAGCGTTTTATCAACAGAAGCTCTTCATTGTTTGCAGACATTTTGAATCCAGGTTGTGTAATCTCTTTCGTTTATTTTTCCTTTGATCTGTGTATGCTTTAAGTGGCTTTCTCAATAATTGGATTTACTAACACAAATACCACTGAATGATGGAGTTCACAAATGAAGAGACGCAAAGCATATGTAGCTCTCACCCAAAGCATATGAAGCAATCATAGAAGACATACGACAAGGCAAACACAAAGATGGACCATTGACAAAAACTAAATGACATTTTGTTATTTTCTCAGGTCGATGAGGGAAGATCAACAATGGAATGGCGCATTCTGGGATCAGCATGGTTTCTGGTGAACGTAGAGGACAAATAACAGAATGATTTATATTCAACAGAATGACGCCCTCCTTACATTGCACCTTGCTAAAAACCAAGTAAACACAGCATAATGTGCAATTCTTTGAGAAAATTAATAGAACAACTAAAGCAACCTGCAGAAGGGGATATGATATTTTTGCATGAAGATTGTCGAGGTATAAAATCCATGGAGTAAACTACAAAATCTTGCAGAACCAAATGATTTGACTTGCATGCATTAGGGAATTTAGTTATGCAGATGAGAGTCGATTAACATTTACCTATAGGCTGATGGCGGTTCACAGGCTTGCTGTAAAGAAGATGCAGCCTGAGTTGCATAGCTGCTAGCTCCCAACTACAAAACAAAACAAAACAAACAGTTTATTTTTTGGTCGAGTAAATTATCATGATGTAGATCACGATTTGTTGTTTTTAGCTAAAATTCATCAATCCATCCTACTTTTTTTTTATTAAAAAAAATCCAGATTATGTACAGTAGCAAAATATAAAATTTCCTTAATTAAGATCTTGTTTAGTCGCCAAAAATTAAAAAAAAAAACCTGTTCCAAATATATTATTCTTTGGATGAAGTGTACATCTATGCAAATCTGTTTCATTACTATTTATTCAACATCCTTTGTTGGATTATCAATATTTGAATCCATAATCACCTAACATATATATATATATATATTTAATTATTCTATTTAAATCTCCTAAATAAATTTTTTTTGGGGGGTAAGTAAAGATTTGTAAACAAGTTGACCATTCTTAATCGGAACAGGTGAAATTATTCTACTAATCCTGTAGTTTTTGCTCGTCTTTAATTAAAATGGATGAACTGTTTAAGATAGAAATTGTTGACTTTTTTTCCTAGTGGGTTTGGATCTGCTAATTAACCACTAAAATAAAATTAAGAAGGGATTGAATTTAAAATAATAAAAAGCGATAAAATTGACCACACATCATTATCCCCATTCGAGAAGTTTTGCTAGGTTTAAGCAATAGTGACATTTTGTCCTTGCTTTTTACAATGACATCAATGCTGAACCTATTAGCCTAAAAAAATGTGTGATTCACGCTGCTTTTGAAAATTTCTTTCATAATCCACCAGCTCACTAAACAATTGTGGATATGAAAATCATTTCATCTATTACTAGCATAAGCATTCCTTTGCTGTTAGAATAAATTCGTGAGTTTTCCAGACAAAAACAAAATAATAATGTATATTTGATATCTTTTTACATCAAGAAAAACAACGGCTGTTATCAACATTGCATGCTGCTCTTCCAAATATTTGGAGGATCAAACTCTTTCACAACCCCCCCCCCTTTTTTTTGGGTCCGTCTTCTCCAACCTCAAATTCAATTCTATGTTCAAGAAAGAACAGGACATCTACTCTAGTTTCTGACGCTAGCCAGATTTTATTTGTTTTTTTTTCCCCTCAGAATTCAAAATAAGTTGACATAATCAAAGACAGCAGAAAGAGAAACGAATTCCAAAATATTAAAAAAAAAAAAAACAGAAAACTGAAGACAAAAAGAAGTTCTTTGACACTAACCTTTGATATAAGAGAGCTTAATGCGGAAGGTTGAATCAAATTACGAATGCTGGTAATTTTATGAATCATCTTGCTCTTCTTTTTGCTCAGCGCAGATCTTCAAAGAAAACCCGTCAGTTGTATTTCCGGCGAACGTTTAGAAAACGGGTAAAGATTACAAGTGACTATTCAGAAGAGGAAGAGCAGAAAGAAAGAACAGGGACGGAAAAATGAAGATGATCGAAGAATTGCATATATTAATTAATGTTCCATAATGATCACAAGCAGCGGTGCTCACATATGCAGGCATGCAAATGGGAACTGGCAAGAAAAGGCCAAAGAATTGGAGAGGTTGAACACGGAACCATGAGCACTTCGACTGCTAGTGCTAGGATATGCATCAAAGGAATTGGACGGATAAAGAATAGGAACAATTGTATAAGAACTCCTTTACATTTCAAGTTATTCTGTTCTAGTCCCTTATATTTACAATGACACGTTTTCATCTGCAACATATTGGAAATGGTGATATTTTGATCCCAAATTTCATTTTCACTTGCTTTTGTTCTTGAAAATTTTTCTTTGATTTTCTGTACGTTATGATGTATATTGAAGGGAAAAATTTAAAATAGATGGTTCCTTATATTGAAGGACAAAATTGAAAATAGACAATTATTATGTAAAATATAACTAGTATTTCATATTAAGGCCCCATTTGATAACTCATTTAATCTTAATGAATTCAGATTTTAATATGTTCAGACGTATTTGATAACCAAAAATAGGACATCTGAATTAATTAAGTGGCATTGAATTTTCTAAACAAAACTTACCTTCAAGATTAAGGAATAAACTAATCACTTATCACTGAATGTGATATATATTCAAATGAATCAGATTTAACACTTAACAATTCAATAATTTAATGAATTCAGACTTTAGATTTCAAATTTTAAAATTAAGTTTTCAGACTTCAACTTTATCAAACGCATCCTAAGTTAACAAATCCTGTTTGGTGAAGAAGGAAGAAGCCACAGCAATTACACCAAGCATGGGATAAGATTTAACACTTAACAATTCAATAATTTAATGAATTCAAACTTTAGATTTCAAATTTTAAAATTCAGTTTTCAGACTTCAACTTTATCAAACGCATCCTATGTTAACAAATCCTATTTGGTGAAGAAGGAAGAAGCCACAGCAATTACACCAAGCATGGGATAAAAAGTCACACACTTCCCTTTTTTTTTTGTCCCTAAAGAAATTTGACCGGAAATAGAATTCGGGCTTATAATTGAGATACACTTTGAATAGGTTAGGGTTCAAAATGTATAACTTAAATGTGAAGGACTAGACGATGGTATTTTGTGAATGGAGGGTTTGATTTGTGCAAAACATCTAGTTTTGATTTTAAACGGAGAGGCATAGTGTGTGAGTGCACATGCGTAGCATGAGTGACTCCAGGCCGACAATTTGACGTCAGTCAACTCCAAGCGATGAGGATTCCTTCTCACCAACCCTTCATTTTCCTTTCGTGACAAAAAAGGAAAGAAACATATGTATTACTATAAAATAAGAGGAATGCTTGCACATTCACCATCAATTTTATAATACAATTTTTTATTTATTAGACTATATGATAAAAGAAATTACTGAAGTGCGATTAATAAAGACTGGAATGCGATTCATGATTTTCTACAATAATTAGTCATAGTTTAATTACTTGTGTTGTGTTGTGAAGGCTTTGGATTTTTTTTTTCTCGTTTAAATAAAATTAGAAAGATCTGTTAACGGTAGGTGCAATACAGACAATCTACAATTACAATATTACAGAACGTACAAATGGTTCTGCACTTATTGATTTCTGTCAGCAGGTTGTTCGCTTTCAAACAACAAACGCATCAATGTGAGTAGAAACTCCATCGAAGAAAACCAAAGAAAACCGTCACATATTGTAACAAATTTTTGAGGGAGGCAGGGTTCAAACCCATAACTTCTTTGCATCACCAAACCTTATAAGGTTTGGGATGACCACTGGACCAAAGGCTCAATGCCCATCAATGGTAGTTAGTGGCGCTGATTATAATCAATTTAATCAAGCAAACAATCTTTTGTAGACGTGCAAGTCTATCATACCTAAAAGTTGTACAACCAAGGATGCATTTGAGACGAGTTGAGATTTCGAGTAGTGAACTACTTGAGCTCGGCTCGAGACAAAATAATTGAGTTGAGAATCAACCTCAAACTCGACTTCAATGTATCTTAATTGGATTTGAGTTTAATTAAATTCAATCCAAGTCTAATCAAACTCACCTAATAAAAATTAATACTTTACATATAATTCTAAATAAAGGATATAATTGACATTTCATAATAATAAATATAAAAATTTTTAAAATATATACTATAAAAAAATTTGATTTGGCTTGTTGAGCCTCCGAGTACAAGAATTTGGAACTTAAACTCGACTCATGAACCCAAACGAGCAGCTTGAACTCAAGTTCGAGTTCAATCAAAGCGACCTCGAACCAACTTGTTGACTGAGTAGATTGTGACTTCGAATTGAACTAGTTGATTCAGCATCCCCTCTAATATAACCAAAGACAATCAACTACATAAAACAAATGAAATGGTTGATTGTCATGAAAATAAAAATTGGGATCTACAAAGAAAATTTTGTAGAATTTTTATCAGCTTAAAGTTATGAAAATAACTTCTTTCATCATTTTCGTTTTCTCGCCTCCAACAAGATGTACAATTCAGTCCAAGGCACAACCGTGCTCCTTCTGTGCGAGCTTCCTTTTTTTTTGGGTCGTTAATAATAGATTTCTGCCAATCCGCAAATTTTGATGTTAGTCCTCATCCGTTAAAGGAGAGAATTTACAAGAGGCACTGTTGGTCCACAGAGTTACACTATGTTAGCCTCAGGCCCAACATTCAACTGTATGATCGGTTGTCAGTGGACCACTCTTGGTGGACACTGGTCTGACAAAATTGGGACCGAGCGGCTCTATTATTGGACCAACAGAGCTGAAACCCAAATATACACCACAATTCAGTCGTCATCTGTGTCTGGGCTTCATTAGGCTAAGTTTTGATTAAACTAGAGCTGCAAACGAGTCGAGCCGAGTCGAGTTTTGGCCTTATCGAGTCAAGCCTTGACTAAATTTTATCGAACTCGAACTCGAGTTCGAGCTTGACGAGCTGGCAGTTTTCAAGCTCGACTCGATTCGTGCTAATTATTTTTATTTTTTAAAAAAATTAAATAAAATAATATTTTTTTAATAAATAATAAAATATTAAAGATATTTATGTAATTTTACTATTAAAATAAAAATAAAAAAATAAATATATATATATATGCTCGAACTCGCGAGCCGGGGTTAATGTTTTGAACTCGAGCTCGAGCTCGACTTTAGCTCGACCAGCTCGAGCTGGAGTCGAGCTTGAATCGAGTCGCTCGCGAGCGGCTCGATTCGTTTGCACCCCTAGATTAAACCCTGGTTTGGAATTATTATGTTTAAATTTTAAAATTAATAGATAATTGTAGAATGGTGTATAATGTTAATATATATTATATTACAGGTTAAGTCAGAAATAGATCCAGAACCTACAGATCTTTATAAGTCGAGTATGGAACTTACAAAATGGCCTCTAGCTCGTGCCAAAAGATTCTATTTGTTTTTTGAGTCGAAATTATGTTTATCAAAACTCAATTCAAGAAACCCAATTGACAACCTTATTTGTGTAATTAGTGAATTCCATCACAAAACTCTTGCAAACAATATATGTTGTGACAATAATGGTCTTTAGGTAAGATTAAGCCTAAATTTATGAGTGCAATTAAGCCAAGTTGAATTCAAATAGTTCTAGTGGACTACTCAACCTCATTTTGAGTTAAAATGCTTGAACTCGAGGTCGAGGTCGAGGTCGAGTTCGAACTCGTTGAACTATTCGATTTTACCTTAATCTAGCTCAAACTCAAATAGATCTAATTAAATCAAGGTCAATCGAGTGTAAATGTTATAATAATGTTTTATATAATTTTAAATAAGGATCAAGATAGACAAATCCCCTACCTTTTCCTACTTCTTAAATCCCACCCTTCCCCTATTGAATTTTTTTTTTAAAATTAAAAATACATGCTCCCTCCATCCCAATATTGAAGTCTACACATGCATCTATTGAATTTAAAATATTTCGATGTTAAATGTGTATTGAGATTTTAAAAAGTCGCTTTGTTCAGATGAGAAGATTGGAAAGCATGTATTGAATTTGAAATGGTAATTTTTATTTTGAGACACTCAACTCGAACTCCATCAATGCAAACTCGAGATCGAATTTTGATCAAGTAGACTCGCAAATAGTTCAATTAACCTCGACTCTTCTGCAGCGCATGCCTGATTAAACTGGTATCTCCTCATTCGAACTCATTTATATTTTGCTTAACTTTTTATTCCCAATAAATTTCATTTCATTTCTTGGCGAATTTTTGTGGCTCGAAACTTTTACTAGAATAGGGCGTCATGCTTCGTTGAATGGAAAATGCAAACAAGTACACAGGTATAAAAGGTTATAGTTTTGTAACGGGGACTTCTGCATGCAACATAGTAGTATATTAAGTCAACAAGGCGGTGAGAAGCAGAAATTGCTCTCAAAAGAACAATACCGAAATAACGGTGGCTTTATTTTCATAGCTCTGCCAAAAGGCCAAGTGAAATGCAAATTGGTGACCAGGAAAAGCCAAAGACGAGAGGATTTTCTCAAAGAATAGTACAATGGGAGGAGGAGGAGGAGGAGGAATTTTCAGAACCACCCTTGTCTTTAACTCCCGGCCAATCCTTGCACTGACAGTGTTTGCCTTGCGGAATTCTTGCATACACAGATGCCACATGCTTTCCACAGCCAACCCAAGTGGTCTTGCCACATCTCGAGCACTTGTCTTCGTAGCACATTTTCTTCTTCTTTTCGGCCTGCGTAATCAATCGATCGATCAAATCAAATCAAATCTGCCTGCCCCTTTGCTCTTTTGTTTTCAGTGTTAATATGTAGTGCAAGTTTGCTTATGAAGCAACGATTTTATACAGAGCAATTGGTACTTTTAAAGTCATCCATCCATCCTAGAACATAACGAGATGGTAGGAAAACATTTCCCGTCGATGCCACCGACAATCATTCGACATTTCGTGACTGACAATGTTATTAATTATTATTCCAAAAGATATTCCAACTTTCGTACAAACCTACGACGATAACTAAGAATGCCTGGTTTTCGGCCGCTTTGGTGGTAATATTTCTCCTCAGCTTGAAGGCGTTATTATCATACCGCCCTGGAGCAACTTGTTCGAGTTCGTCAGTCTGGGCCTCCGATTTCAAGAACCACTGGTGAATTGGG